GGGGCCCAAAACGGGAAACTTAACTGGACCTTCCAGCCCCCCCGCCCCAGGAGGCCCCTAAGAGGCCCCTAAGAGACCCCCAAGAGGCCCAAAGAGGCCCTCAAGAAGCCCGCGGCAGGCCCCCAGGGGCCTCCAGAGGCCCCCCCAAAGGCTTCAAAAAGCCCCCCGAGGTCCCCAGGAAACCCCCAGGAGACCCCCAAGAGGGCCCCAACGAGCTTCTGAGAGGCTTCCCCAGAAACCTTCATGCACGTCTGCAAGACGCCCGCGGCAGGTCCCCAAGGGCCTCCTGAGGCCCCCCAAGAGGTTTCCAAGAGGCCCCCCCGAGGTTCCCAGGAAGCCCCCAGGAGACCCCCAAGAGGGCCCCAACGGGCTTCTGAGAGGCTTCCCCAGAAACCTTCATGCACGTCTACATGCGGCCTCCGGTCCAAAAAAAAAACTGAGACCGTTCCTGGGACGCCGCCTGATTGGCACAGGTTTTCTTTGTCTCTGTCAATGGGTGGCGCGGCAGCGACCCTTGTCTCTGGGGCCGACTTTTCAGCACCCTGTGGGGCACGATCCGTTTAAGGTGTGCGCCGTTTTATGTGGGGGGACGCTACGCGAATCCTCCCATGCGTTCACGCCGCGCTACGCAGACGCCGTCGCGCAAATATCTCGGGCCCGGGCGGTTTTGGGAGATGTTCCCGAAAGGGCCTCCGGGAACATCTGCTTCGGGGGGGCGGGGATCCACGCCTTGCCCCTTGCCGTCGTCGTCGTCATCGCGGGCGTCGTCGTCGTCGGTTCTTCTTGAAACTGTTCGTAGGCTTTCGGTGCAAATTCGGGGCCCGGAGTTCGACATGGTTTTTCGCTGTTTTCGGCCCCAAGGGCTGATGATGATGCTGAAGCAGAATATGATGATGATGATGATGATGATGATGATGATGGCGATGATGATGATGATGAGCTGTTTTACCCGTATTAGTACTGTTCTTATGAAGGTTAGGTGTTGATTTTGTTGTTGATGGTAGTAATGATCATGACGATGAATATCACCAAAGGGCCACCATGATTATGCTGCTGCAGACGGCTTCGGGAGAGGGACCCTAGAGGCCCAGAGGAACCCCCGGAGGCCATCAACCAAGCGGGAAAGGGAGCCGCGGCGCAGCTGCATCCTGGGATGCACACAATGCCCACTGACAAAGACTTCGGAGTCGACTAAAACGTAAGCGCGCGCGAAGCGCGCGCGTGGTTCTAGTTCTCACATGGGAACGAGTACGCCCCAACATTGCCCTGCCCCACGCCCCCCCCCCCGCAAAAAATGGGACGCGGCGCGCGGGAGTGGTGCCCCTAGAGCAGGGCGTGGAGCATGCCCACCGAAGATCCATGAGACTGCATTTGCCAGCCACTTTCATAAATTACGTCCTCAAACTTTTCGTCGGCGACCTCGAGAGGAAGCGCGGGCCGCACGCAATAATATTTTTCTATGTTTCTTGAACTGCAGCCTCTTCCCACATAATTTGGTCGGCAATGTATCGGGTTTCTCCTGACACTGATCTATCACGTCTTTATATATATATATATATATATATATATATATAAAAAAAAAAAAAAAAAAAAAAAAAAAAAAAAAAAAAAAAAAAAAAAAAAAAAAAAAAAAAAAAAAAAACTGCCCAATTGGGAATCACGCGCGCTGCAGAAAGCGATGCCCGGCGGGCGGGCGGTTGGAGCATCTGTTCCGCCAGCCACATTATCCCTTGAACCGACATATGTAGCCTATCGTAAACGGGCCCATGCACGATTGAATTGGCATGGCCCTGCATTTCTTGCAAGAGATTATTGTAATCTCCCCCTGGCCACATATTGTTCGCGCTGCTCTCGCGCCCCATCAACTTTCGCGCCCCCAGAGCCTTGAGGGACAGGACTCTCTGTTCTACCCTTCTCACGAGCGCTGCATTTTGCATGGAAGTTTCTCCGGCCATCTGCGCGCACCTTGGCCTCCCCTTAGGAGGATATGTTTTCGTCTTCGCTGCCTTCCCGGGCACGGGAACTGGTCCTCCTGCATCGTTCTCAAGACATTTCTCTCTGACTTCTCGTTCGCAGGCCTCTGGGGGAATCTCTGCAGCCGGCATTCTAATGGGCTCGGCAGATCGCGCGCGACCCTTTGCTGCATTCACGGCTAAGCCGAAACCGGCAGCAGCGGCGGCGCCAGCTGGCCCCCGCGCGGCTGCGCCGGCAGAGCCAGCAGCTGAACCGACGACGTCCACTTCAGCTTTCCCCTGTTCGGCTGGGCCGACAGCGAACTGGGCAGTCGCGGCGCTTCCAGTCGCCTGTCCGGCTACGCCGGCAGGTGATTGACATAGCGGTTGCGAGTCGTCGATCTGTTTGACTGCTTCTTGCACGTGCTGATCAAGTGCGACCCTCTGCCCGGGCGGCCCCAGGGCGCGCCCCTCAGGGGGCATGCTGGGAAAAATGGGGGTGCTGCGCTCGAGGAAGAAGTGCTATTCTCCCCCTTGGACATCGTTCTCGCATCCTTCTCCCGTCGCCAGGAACTCGCGCGATTCCCTGGGCAACAGAGGGCGCCGCGCTCCGCCCCCTGCGCCGTTTGAAGCGGCCGGAAACCTGTTAGGAACGATAGGTTCGGCGACCGGAAACGCCGAGGGCTGACTTCGGCGCGCCGGGCACCATTCAGTCCAACACGGCGCCACTTCGTCGCGCGCCGCTTCCACCTGCGCGTATCCATCTGCCCGGGCTGGCCCTGCAAATCCAACCCCTTGCACGGCGGCGCCGCCAGAGGGCTGACAAAAGAACAACGCTGCAAGTTTGGCTGCCTTCAACATATAATCCTCGAACACTGCAACAACCGATTCGCCCTGCCGTCGGCTTCCCTTCTCCGCTTTGCATGTCTCGTGACGAGCGAGGATGTGACATGCATCGCCCGCTGGATGCTGCAACTTCCTATACCAGCTAGCGCCATCCAGCATCAATATTCCGGGGCGAACTCCCATTGCGTTGCAGCGTTCAATGCGTTGATGTATCATAGCTCGCACGGGCGCGGCAGCATCGTCACGGAGCTTATGCACCTGGTAGTTGCCGCAAGAGGAACGCCAACATTTGTGGTCTCCGCCAATGTTGAAAATCTGAACAGTTCCTGATATAAAACAGCCTACCGCCTCATCGATGAATCTCTCGGCGGCCCGAATGAAAAGGGGCAAGCGCCCTAAGCAATATCATAGGAGCGCGGCTCTTTTTACATGCTCCGGCTAAGCCGATCAATTTGCAATGTTTTCCGTCCGAAATATCGTTCAAGGACCTAAATATAAATTGCATGGGCGCATGTATGCCTGGGACGAGTCTACCCTGTTCCCCATGGCCTGAGGCGAGCCCGTCTGGCGAGTTCCGAAGAGGATTAGGATGGTAAGATGGCCCAGGCGACGCATGGAATCGAGCATCTTCTTCGTTCTTTTCAATTCAATGCAAGCTCTTTTCCTCCGACTGTCAATCGCTTTCTTCTTTATCCTGCCCATTCATCACAAACTGTGATATTTATTCCTCATCATAACGCTATCCACCCGCTGAGCCGGTGGGAACGTTTTTGGGCGGGCTCTCCTCATCGTAAATCGTATTGGCTGATATCCTCGGGCTTGAGTGCATGGATGCGATTTCAGAAGGCCTGCCGTCGGAGGCACTGGCTAAGCCATGCCCTCTGCCTGGCGTTTGACCTCTTTCCTTCATATGGCGATCTATATGTGGGATCCCCCTCTTTCCAATCAAACACATAGTCAGACGCTTGTCTTCTGGGAAGGTCGAGAGAAAAAGGCCGCCCCCTTTGGGCGCCTTTCTTGGTAATGCGCTCGGGGCAGTATTGTCGTTTATTCTTCCGAGCGCTCCTTCCTGCGCTCGCATGTCCAGCGAAGCCAACGGCTGAGCCGTCGTTTCGGCTGATAACCAGCTTTTTACCTGGATACGAATTATCCTGCGAAGGAAAGCTAGGGGGGCTCCTGTGAGGAAAGCTCAAGGGGCTCCACCGAAGCCATGGCAAAAAAAGCGTGTTCCGTGGAGCGGGCAAAAGATATTTGCATGTAGGGGGGGGTCAACCGGCCGGCCGACGCTCGCGCGGGCCAGTTCGTTCCTTTTCCTATACTGATCGAGTCTGAATGGCTGCAGGCAGACAGTCAGTATAACAGCAATGATGGCAAAGGCAACATGATGATGGTGCGGAAAAGAGCGGCTTGACTTTTCAGGTGTACGAAATCTCAAACATACTATAACGTTGTAGCGATATTATGATGTCATGTAAAAATACATGCGACATGCATATATATATGCATACATATACATACATATACGTATGCATATGTATTGTATATGTATTTTATAGACCATATGTTAATAATAAACAGTTTGGAAATTAAAGGTTTGTGTGTTTTACAAAAACAAAAAAAAAAAAAAAAAAAAAAAACGGAACCCCCAGGAGACAGGCCCTGCTAAAGGAACTGAGTGGCACTGCTTGGCACTGCGGCGTGGCATCATTCTCTTTACTTGGATTGGCATCGCTTTGCACTGCTTGAATTGCCTGGCATTTTGCCTTGCAGTGCCAGGGAGTCCGAAGAACAAGGCTGGGGCACCCGAGGTACCCAGGCAAGAAACTGGATTGGAAAACAGGGGGAACTCGAGGATGTTGCGGACATGCGCAATCCCTATGCCACAAAGACCCGTCCACGCCCGCACAGGTACAGCAATCGAGCTTCTCAACCAGACCGTGCCGATGTAGCCGAACCTGCCGTCGGTGCCAGTGGCCCTCAGACATCAGGGACCTCAACGTGCGCTGTTGCCTTTTCGTCAAGGACCCCTTGGAACGATTCAGGAGCCTCTCGACGCCATGAGAAAACAGGAGGAGAAGAAGGACTAGGAGCGAGAAAGAGGGAGGAGAGAGAGAGGAGGGAGGGAGAAAAAAAGGAAGGAGAGAAGGAAATGGCGGGGGAGAAAGGGAAGGAAAGGAGCAGCACGGCGAGGGCGACGCGCGCCTGCCAGCCGAGCTGGTGGGACCCTGGCGAAGACGTCCGCGACATCTGCTGCGGTGGCGACAAAGGACCGTGCCGCGCCTGGGGGTGCGCAGGCGCAAACCGGGAGCCACGCGGGCTGAACGGTCTTCTGCCAATCCTCTTCCGAGTGTTCATCATCAACATCATCACCACCACTACCACCACCACAAGCACCATCACCATCATAATCAACACCAACATCAGCATCCTCATCAGAAGCAGTACCACCATCAGTACCATCATCAGCATCATAGTAATCATCATCATCATCAGCAACATTATCGTCATCATCAGCATCATCATCACCCTCACCAGCATCATCATCAGCCTCATCGTCATCATAATCAGCAGCATCATTATCACCATCACCATCACCATCATGATCATCATCAGCATCAGCATCATCATCACCATCATCACCACCATCGTCGTCATCAACATCATCAGCATCATCATCACCAGCATCATCGTAATCGCATTCATGTACATCACCCTCATCGTCAGCATCATCATCATCAGCTGCAGCATATTCGTCATAAGCATCATCATCAGCATGATCAGCATCATGGTCAGCTTCAACATCCTCATCACCATCATCAACGTCTTCTGCATCGTCATCGTCAGGAGCACCATCATGTTCATCATGACAATCATGATTAGCATGGTACTCGTGATCAGCATCATCATCCATAGCATTGTCACCATCGTCGTCATCAGCATCATCATCAGCATGATCCGCATCATGATCAGCCTCAACATCCTCATCACCATCATCCTCAACGTCTTCTTCATCATCATCGCCAACAGCATCACCATGTGAATGATGATCATCCTGATCAGCATGATCCTCGTGACCATCATCATCACCATCATCAGTTCATCATCATCATCAGCAGCATCATTACCATTATTATCATCATTATCAACATCACCATCATCGTCATCGCCAGCGTCATCGCAATCGTCATCAATCTCGTCAGTAGCAACAGTATATATAAACACCCTCGCCGTCAACGCGGCAGCATGGTCATCGTCACCATCGTTATCTTCACCCTCATCTCCATCGCAATGATAATCAACCGAGTCATCGTCATCGTCATCATCATCATCAGCAGCATCATCATCCGCATCATGATCAGCATTGTCGTCAACATCATTATCCTCCTACTGATCCTCATCCTAATCACCATGATTATCGTCATCACCATCTTCATCAGCATCCGCATCGTCATAATCATCCTCAGCCGCCATCATCATTATCATATGCACCATCATCGGCATCGCCATCGTCATCAGTATCATTATCGACAGCAACATCATCACCCAAACCGTCAAAGTGAGCATCATCATGTTCGTGGCCGCCGATATCTACAACATGAACACCATCGCGATGATAATCAAAAGCATCATCGTCATCAGCAGCATCATCGTAATCATCATCATGCTCGTCACCAACATCATCGTAATCATCAGCAGCATCAACCTACCCATCGGCACCAGCAGCAGCAACATTAGCATCGTTGTCATGTCCGGCTTCGATCTCATCGTCAGCATCAGCATCACATCCGCATCACATCAACATCATCATCACCATTATCAGCAGCATCATGATCATCATCATCACCGCCGCCGAAGTCATTAACAACATTACCGTCACCGTCATCAGCGTCATCATCAGCACCAGCATCATCACCATAATCAGCCTCACCTCAATCACGACCACCATCATCAGCAAAGGCAGTTCAATGACCATCAGCAAATACCCATCGTTGATTACATCCGTATTATATGTAGCATCACCACCACGATCATCAGCAGCATCGTCATCTTGAACGTCGTCATCATCATCATCATCATCATCATCACCATCATCAGCAACAGAGTCAGCACCATCATCATCATCAGCATCGCCCGTCTCCTCCGCATCCTCCTCTGCGTCCTCCTCGTCATCCCCCTGCCCGGTAATCCTCCTCACCCCCACGTTCATCCTCCTGCGCCATCTCCTCCTCTTCCGTCTGCTCCTACTGTTCACGCACTCTTACATCGTTTCCCTACACACACAGCTTTTCCTCTTCCTACTCCTTCTGCTGTTGCTCCGTACCCTCCCTCCAGAGGGAGACCCATGAACGCCAGAATCGGCCCCCCTCCCCCTTCGCCAAGGGGACCCGTGGGGCCGCAGGGTGGCTTCGAATTGCAAAGCGCGAGTTGCACCTAGGCCCAGCGAGGAAAAATCCAGCACAACATAAGGAGGAGGAGGAGGAGGAGGAGGAGGAGGAGGAACGAGGGGGACAGTAAATGCATGCAGAGGCGGCCAGCCAGGGAGGGCAGGAGGAGCAGGGAAAAAGGGGCGGGCAGGGCGGGGGGCGGCCAGGAAGGGGGTCGGGCAGCGGGCGTTGCACGTAGTGAGGCGCAGGGGCGGCGGAGGCCGGCGGTCGTCGCACTCGTGGGGGGCATATGTTGTCGTCGTCGGTGGTCGTCGTCGGCCGTCATCGCTGCCGCCGTGGCCGCGTTCTGCTGCCAGGGTTGCTACGCTAGTGGCCCACAGCCTTCGCACCCTCGTCGGCGGTCACCTCAAGCTGCGGCGGCGCCGCGTACTGCAGCGCCAGCGGTGGCTACAACGGCGGCGGCTGCACCTCCGCGGCGTCTGCGCAGCGCTGGGGCATCAGCGGCCCATGGCGCTGAGCACCATCTCTGCGTTGCCCCGCTGGAGCTGGCGGGAGAGCTGGCGCCACACTCTGCCGAGCATCTCGCCCCGCTCCGCCTCGTCGAAGCTCTGTCCGTAAACCCGGACGAACTCTGCGGTTTCGTTCGATGGGCGGCCCAACGTCTCGAATACAAGTGGGGCGAGGTATCCCCCGCTCGGGGGGTATCGGTCCCGCTTTTCCCGCACCACGGCCGCTGCGGCAGCGCCGTTGTTGTTGGAGCGCGCTTGCCTGCGAGGGGCGTACTCAGAGCATTCGCAAGTGATGCTTCAGTCAACGTAAAAGGGCCGTTCCGTGCTGGGATCCGTCGTGGCGACGTCCAGTTTGGCTGCTTCCAGCAGGCCTGTGCGCCGGTTGACGCGGTCCCACGCAGGGACTAGATGCTCCGTGGTCGCGGCGAAGCCAGGGAGGCTGCTGTGCAGCTTGGAATGCCAGTCCCGCATGCGGTCGTGGCGGGCGGCACGGGAATCACCAACTCCACAGCATCTCCCGTGCCACCCTCGCCGGTCCAGTGGCGCGCCGCAGATTGTGCCGTCTTGGCGATGATGCTGGCACGCGGCGCCTTGTGGACAAACATCACATCGGAGGCCAAGCTTTACGGCAGTGATGAAGTGTTTGTCGGGCGCGCTCGGGTCGTCCTCCTTCCTGGGAAGGACAAAACTGCCATCTTCAGTCCCGCCAGCGCCGCGGAGTGCCAGGCGGTCGTGCTCCCCGAGCTCCCGGAGGATCTTTGCTCTGGTGGCAGCAGAGCGCGCCTTGCCCCACGTGCCCTGCAGCTTGGGCGTGGGTTCTGCGCCAGTGGCCCCCTGGGCCCGGAGGTCCGCGTCGGTTTCCATGAGCGCTTCGTGCGTCAAGGGGCACTTGTGCCCGGAAGTCTTCCCAGCTCGGGAAGCCCGCGGCACGGGCCACTTCCTTCACGGTGAGAGCCCAGCTTGCCGCGTACGCTGCGGAGGAGGTGACCCGCGCGGAGGGCAAGGAGATGCTGCCACCTTTGAGGCGTATCGTGGCCTGCGCGCGCTGCTGCGGGTCGAGAGCGGCCCCGATGAGCTCTTCCAGACAGCCGAAAACGACGTCGTCGAACTGGTCCACCCAGGAAAGGTCGCGGTTGGCTCGCAGGTGGTGCGTCACTGCGCCTTGGGCATAGGTGCGGAGAAGCGTGAAGGTGGCCCCCGCTGAGGGGCCCGCTGCCTGCAACTCGCGGAGTCGGCTGCCGAGCTTGACAGTTTTCCCCTTCCCCCACCTGTCCCCGCCTCTTCCTCATCCACGTGATCCTCATCCTACGGCTTCATCCTCCTGTTCCTTCGCCTTTTCCTCCTGCTCCTCCTCCTCCAAGCGAAGATGCAGGTCCAATCGTGCCCACCCAAAGTGGACCTCTTGGTCTGCAAGACAACTCGCGTGTTCCACATCCCCAACATAGGTTCCCTTGTGGAGCCCTCTCGCTCGCAAACATCTGAGTCCCGAATCCTGCAACCTCCTCCTCCTCCTCCTCCTCATCCTCAACTATGGCGATCATCCTCCGAATCCTCGCAACCGTATGTACGTTCAGCACGAAGTGGAGTGTCTGAAAAGTTCACAAAGTCCTGAGCGGTAGAGGCTTTGACCAAATCTTAAGGGCCTAGACCCTGGAGTCGCAGGCGATTCCGGGCACTTCTGGGCGCCGCCGAAGCTTGCCACGCGGGCTTCTGGGATGGTGACCCCGCCCAAAACGAACGGAAGAATCCCAAAATCTCCTCCGAAGCCCCCGAAAAAAGTCCAAGAGCGCTCCGAGACGACCTCAGAAGGCCCCAAGACCGGCCACGATGCCTGCCAGACGGCCCAAGAGACCACTGAAGAGGCCCCCCCCAAAAAAACAAGAAGAACCCCGAGAGACTCTCAAGAGACTAAGCTCGCCCCAATCCTTAATGAGGGATGCAAAAAACAACCCGACCCTGGGTTGCAAGCGAGTGGTCTGTAAACCTCCTGGGAACACCCAAAGCCTAGAGAGCCGCCGGGACGCCGCACATCACGCAGGGCTTACCCTGTTAGCCCACAGGAGGTTCAGCGCACAGCGCCTCGTAAACCAGGGTACGGGCGGTTTTTGTTTGCGCCCTTGACTTGAAGAAAACGAGCATTTCCAGCACATCTACCGTTTGGGTCTTCACAGCGTCCACGACGGGCCAGGACGTCCCCCAAAGATCGCCTCAGGACGGCCCAAAGAGGTCCCCAAGATCGCCCCAAAAGGCCTCCACGGAAGGAGAAAAAGTCCATCCGACCCCCAACCTCAAAAAAGGCGGGCAGCGCTGGCCCTGCTGGGCGACATCTGCCAGGTGTACTCGGCAGGCGATGTCGGGCGCAGCGGCGAGGCAATGGCCACCGCCTGAGGGCGGTCGTGGTCGTCGTCGTGGTCGTCGTCGTCGTCGGCGTCGTCGTCGTCGCCGCCGTCATCGTCGTCGTCCTCGTCGTCCTCGTCGTCACCCTCGTCGTCGTCGTCGTCGTTGTCCTTGTCCTCGTCCTCGTCCTCGTCCTCGTCCTCATCGCCGTCGTCGTCCTCGACGTCGTCATCGTCCTCGTCGTCGTCATCGTCCTCGTCTTCGTCGTCGCCATCGCTGCCGTCGCCGCCGCCGCCGACGTCCTCGTCCTCGTCGTCGTCGTCGTCGTCGCCGCCATCGCCGTCGCCGTCGCCGCCGCCGCCGTCGTCGTCGTTGCCGTCGTCGTCGTCGTCGCCGTTGTCGTCGTCACCATTGCAGCCGTCATCGTCGTCCACCTTGCCGCCGCCGCCGCCGCAGTCGTCGTCGTCGTCGTGGACGTCGTCGTCGTCGCCGCCGCCGCCGTTGTCGTCAACAGGACCCCCAAGAGGGCCCGAAGAACAGAAGATCATTGGTTGTCCGTGCATTGTTCTATGTGTTTCGCGGTCTCGCGTTTTCGGGCTTCCGACGCTCCAAGATGGCCCCAAAGGCCCCCAAGACCACCCCAAGACGGCCCAAAACTGCCCAAAAGGCCCCCAAGAGGGCCCCAAGGCGGCCCATGAGAACCCCAAAACGGCCCAAGAGGCGCCCAAGATCGCCCAATCAGGCCCCAAGACGGCCCCAAGAGGGGCCCAAAAGGGGGAATACGAACCGACAATTCGAGCCTTCCGCCCCAAAAGGCTCCCAGGAGGCCACAGGAGGCCCCCAAAAAAACCCAAGAGAGCCCAAGAGGCCCCCTAGAGGCCGCACGGGGCCCACAAGAGGCCTCAAAACTGCATCCAAGAGACCCTGAGAGGCCCCCGACGATATCCAAACGAACATCCAAGGGGCCTCGAATCCAGAACCCAAGCACGGCGGCGGGATGGGCCGCAGGCCATTAGACCTGGGCCGGCGCGGAAACGGAGAGAGCGCCTCGGGAACTTGCCCGAGATCGCTCATGGCACCCTTCGCTCTTGGGAGCCTTGGCGTTGAGAGCTTGTTACGTCACCGCTCGCTCTTGGGAGCCTTGGTGTCCAGAGATGTTTACGTTGCCACTCGCTCTTGGGAGCCTTGGTGTCGGGAATTGTTTAAGGAACCGTTCGCTCTTGGGAGCCTTGGCGTTGAGAGCTTGTTACGTCACCGCTCGCTGTTGGGAGCCTTGGTGTGAAGAGCTTTTTGCGTTACCGACCGCTATTTTATTTGGCGTCTATTGGCCTTCTTAGGGGTCCTTTGGGGGCAATTTTGGGGCCTATTTGAACTGTCTTGGGGTCCTCTTGGGCCGTGTTGGGGCCCATTTGGGCTGTCTGGGGGCATCTTGGAGGCCTTTGGCCGTTTTGGGGCTCTCTTGGGGGCCTCTTGGGGCGGTCTTGGAAATCTCTCGGGGTTCTCTTGGGGCTCTCTTGGGTCGTCTTGGGGCTCTCTTGGGCCGTTTCGGGGCCCTCTTGGGCCGTCTTGGAGCTCTCTTGGGCCGTTTTCGGGCGCTTCTGGGGGCCTCTTGGGCCGTCTTGGGACGATCTTTGGAGCCTCCTGGGCCGTTTTCGGCAGTTATTGGCCCGACACAGCGAAAACCTGAAAAACCTTCAAAAACCATTGAAAAACCAATGATTGTTGCCTCCTCGGGGCCTCTTGGGGAACCTCTTGGAGGCCACTTGGGGCGTCTTGGGGGCTTCTTGGACCGTCTTGGAGCCATCTTAGGGCGTCTTGGGGCCGTCTTGCACAATCTCGGACCCAACTTGGGCGTCTTGGAGCGCTCTTGGACCGTCTTGGACCCGTCTTGGACCCCTCTTGGACCGTCTTGGGCGCCTCTTGAGGCCGTTTCGGGCGCGCCTTCGAGGCCAAGAGGGCTATTAGACCAGGCGCCTGCGCCTCGCACCCCCCCTGGACCCCCCCATTTAGGGCTTCGACCCCTACTCAACATCATTCGCTCGTACCTCGCTCTTTCCGTCACCTGCTTGGCACGGGGACGGAAAGCGCACTTACTTTCAGAGCGCACGAGATCGCTGTCTCGTCCGCTCTTAACCTCTTATTGACTCCCTTCCCCTCGCTCTTGTCCTATCTCAGCCTCGGAGAGTCGCGGAGCTTTCTTTGAGCGCGTTTCTTGTTTTGGAGGGGGCGGTCGGGTCGCGTTGCGTTTTCCGCGTTTGGGCTGCCAGCTTTCCAGAACCCCGCGTTTTCCTTGCGTGGACCGCTCGTTGTCCACGCGTTGCCGCCCGTCCCTGTGCCCTGGCGTCAAGAACTTATTACGCCGCAGCTCTCTGTTGGGAGCGTTGGTCTTATCAGCTCGATTACGTCACCGCTCGCTCTTGGGAGCCGCGGTGCTAAGAGCCATTTTGAGTATGTTGGGCCTCTTGGGGGGCTCTTGGGGAGCCTTTTGGGTGACTCCTGGGGACCGTTGGGAGCTTTTCGGGTGCCTCTTGGGGCCTCCTGGGAGCTTCTGGGCTGCGGGGGTGAAGGGACTAGGCTGCCTTTGGCCGTCTTTGGGCTCTCTTGGGGGCCTCTTGGGGCCTTCTTGGGGCCGTCCTGGGGCCGTCTTGGGCCGTCTTGGCGCCTCTTGGGCTGTCTTGGCGCCCTCTTGGGCCGTTTTGGGGCCCTCTTGGGGGCCTCTTGGGCCTTCTTGGAGCGCTTTTAGGGGCCTCTTGGACAATCTTGGGCGCCTCTTGGCCCGTCTTGGCGCCCTCTTGGGCTATTTTTGGGGCCTCTTGGAAACATATTGGGCCGTCTTGGGGCGGTCTTGGGGGCCTCTTGGACCGTCTTCAACGCCATGGAAGGCGAAAAGCCGTATATGCTAGAAATGCACGTTTTCCTTCAGAAAATCAATGAGTTTGGCCTCTTGGGGCCCTCTTGGGACGCCTCGTGGGCGCCTCCTGGGGCGTCGTGGAGGCCTCTTGGGACGTCTTGGGGCCGCCTTGGGCGGTCTTGGGCTCTCTTGGAGCGCTCTTGGGCCGTCTTGGGCGCTTCTTGGGCCGTCTTGGCCGTCTTGGGCGCCGTCTTGGCCGCTTCTGGGGCTGTCTTAGGCGCCTAAGACGGCCCAAGAAGCGCCCAAGAAGCGTTCTCCGATGATGTCTCGAGCGAAACGCTGTTTTGAAGCCCCGAAGGCCGTCCTACTCGATAAAAAACGAAGCGGGAGGGCAATTAGATCCGGGACTGGCGATGCCACCCCCCTCGAACTCCCCCAAGTCCAATTTCTTCCGACTAACGGACCGCACACTAACGCGCGCTTTCCGTCATCCGGGCCGCAGGCCATTAGACCTGCTTGGCACGGGGACGGAAAACGCACTTACTTTCAGAGCGCACGAGATCGCTGTCTCGTCCGCTCTTAACCTCTTATTGACTCCCTTCCCCTCGCTCTTGCCCTATCTCAGCCTCGGAGAGTCGCGGAGCTTTCTTTGAGCGCGTTTCTTGTTTTGGAGGGGGCGGTCGGGTCGCGTTGCGTTTTCCGCGTTTGGGCTGCCAGCTTTCCAGAACCCCGCGTTTTCCTTGCGTGGACCGCTCGTTGTCCACGCGTTGCCGCCCGTCCCTGTGCCCTGGCATCAAGAACTGATTACGCCGCAGCTCTCTGTTGGGAGCTTTGGTCTTATCAGCTCGATTAAGTCACCGCTCGCTCTTGGGAGCCGCGGTGCTAAGAGCCATTTTGAGTAGTTTGGGCCTCTTGGGGGGCTCTTGGGAAGCCTCTTGGGTGCCTCTTGGGGACCTTTTGGGGCTTTTCGGGGGCCTCTGGGGGCCTCCTGGGAGCTTCTGGGCTGCGGGGGTGAAGGGACTAGGCTGCCTTTGGCCGTCTTTGGGCTCTCTTGGGGGCCTCTTGGGGCCTTCTTGGGGGCGTCCTGGGGCCGTCTTGGGCCGTCTTGGCGCCTCTTGGGCCGTCTTGGCGCCCTCTCGGGCCGTTTTGGGGCCTTCTTGGGGCGCTCTTGGGGGCCTCTTGGAGGGTCTTGGACGCCTCTTGGCCCGTCTTGGCGCCCTATTGTGCTATTTTGGGGGCCTCTTAGAAACATCTTGGGCCGTTTTGGGGCGGTCTTGGGGGCCTCTTGGACCGTCTTCAACGCCATGAAAGGCGAAAAGTCGTATATGCTAAAAATGCACGTTTTCCTTCAGAAAATCAATGAGTTTGGCCTCTTGGGGCCCTCTTGGGACACCTCGTGGGCGCCTCTTGGGGCGTCGTGGAGGCATCTTGGGACGTCTTGGGGCCGTCTTGGGCGGTCTTGGGCTCTCTTGGAGCGCTCTTGGGCCGTCTTGGGCGCTTCTTGGGCAGTCTTTGGCCGTCTTGGGCGCCGTCTTGGCCGCTTCTTGGGCTGTCTTAGGCGCCTCAGACGGCCCAAGAAGCGCCCAAGAAGCGTTCTCCAATGATCTCTCGAGCGAAACGCTGTTTTGAAGCCCCGAAGGCCGTCCTACTCGATAAAAAACGAAGCGGGAGGGCAATTAGATCCGGGACTGGCGATGCCACCCCCCTCGAACTCCCCCAAGTCAAATTTCTTCCGACTAACGGACCGCACGCTAACGCGCGCTTTCCGTCATCCGCCGCCCCCTGTCGAGTCATCGCAGGGGTGCCTGGCGTGCTGAACCCTATCGGTTTGGGTTTTGGTTCTTTGTCCAAAAGAACTCACCCTGGGGCTCTGGCGCGTCCCGCCGGGGTCCCGGGAGGATTGCCAAGGACCTCAATTCCCTACTTTCCTGCCGAAGACGGCTCCAAGATGGCCTCCAAGATGCCTCCAAGACGGCCAAGATGGCCTCCAAGACGGCTCGGATGGCCCCAAGATGCCTCCAAGACGGCCCAAGATGTACCCTAAACGGCCTAAGATAGCCCGAAGATGGCCCAAGACGGCCCAAGACGGCCCAAGAGGCCCCCAAGATGCCCCCAAGACGGCCCAAGAGGCCTCCAAGAGGTCCTCCAGGAAGGCCAGAAGAGGCAAAATCATTGATTATCCTTAGGTGTTTGAAGGATGTTGGCATTTGCGCCTGTTCGGCTTTCCGACGGCCCCAGACGGCCCAAGAGACCCCCAAGATCGCCCCAAGATCGCCCAAGAGGCCTCCAAGATGGCCCCGTGACGGCCCAAGAGGCCTCCAAGCTGGCCCCAAGACGGCCCAAGAGGCCTCCAAGATGCCCAAGATGGCCTCCAAGACGGCCCCGAAGCGCCCCAAGAGGGCCCCAAGAGGGCCCCAAGTCGGCCCAGAAAGGCCCACAAGACGGCTCCCGACGGCGTCAGACGTGCCAGGAACCCACCAAGATGGCCGAAGTTGGCTCGAAGCTGGCCCAAGACGGCCCAAGAGGCCCCCAAGAGGGCCTCCAGGAAGGCCAGAAGAGGCCAAACAACATTGATGTTCCTCAGGTTTTTGACGGATGTTGGCAGTTGTTTCTTTTCGGCATTCCGACGGCCCGAGACGGCCCAAGAGCCCCCAAAGATCGCCGAAAGATCGCCAAGAGGCCTCCAAGATGGCCCCAGAACAGCCCAAAAGGGCCCCGAGACGGCCCCAAGAGGCCCCCAAGACGGCACAGGAGGCCTTTAAGACGCCCAAGATGGCCTCCAAGACGGCCCTGGAGCATTCCAAGAGGGCCCCAAGTCGGCCCATAGAGGCCCCCCTTAACAGCTTCCGACGGCGTCAGACGGACAAGGAGCCCACCACGACGGCCGCGAACATGGCCCTAAGATGGCCCAACACGGCCCAATAGGCCTCCAAGAGGGTCTCCAGGAGGGCCCGAAAAGTCCAAAATCATTGACTTCCCAATGGTTTTTGACGGATTGTGGCATTTGCCTTTTGTTCTGCCTTCCGACGGCCCGAGACGGCCCAAGTGCCCCCCAAGATCGCCCAAGAGGCCCAAGACACGGCCCCAAGAGGCCCCCAAGACGGCCCAAGAGGTCTCCAAGACGCTCAAGATGGCTTCCAAGACGGCCCCAGAGCCCTCCAAGACGTCCTCCAAGAAGGCCCGAACGAGTCAGAATGGCCTCCAGACGGCCAAGATGACCTTCAAGATGCCCACGTGTTCCCCGAAGGCGTTCCAAACCGATTCGGGGAACACATGGTCCGATAGCTTGGCAGGTCTGGCCTCAACGTTCGGCCACATAGGCGCTTCCAAAAAGGCAGGGGGCGGCGGTGATTCGCCGTAGGCGTCTTCGATATACTGGGCCAACCAGACAAACAAGTTACCATATAACGTGTTCGGTGTTATCGACGGCACTCTCTTTACCACAATGAGGATGCTTACCCTGCTGAACTTCATTTCAAGTGGACGTCTGGTGTCCATGGTGCGAAGCTTCAGATATAAATTTAGTGTGAGGGATGACCATGTACAAGGAAAGGATCAACAGTGCACACACACACAACAATATTAGAAGGATCAGAGCAGCGCAACGCGATGAGGACATGAACCCCACAAAATCTGACACGGTCCAAAGCTAACACCTCGCCACTTCACACGCAAGGTGGTGGCCTGGTGTCTTGATCTCGATGCCCCGGGGGCCTGCAACAGGCCCCGCATCTCCAAACCCGAACGGCCCAAGACCAATGGCACGTGGCTTTGGGAGAGTGTCCAACCTCAGGCTGCTTCACACACTACGCCTCGCCAAACGTTTGTCTCCGTCGCGGCGCGGCAGCGGCGATCCGCTCGCGCGTCGAACAACCTGGGTTACGGCGTTGCAAACTGCCCCGCAGGCAGGAAGGGGGGGAGGACCAGAAGAGGGCGACCGCGGAGGGGGCGGGAGGGACTGGGGCTCGCCAAACCCATGAAAGGCTGGGAAACTCGGCAGGGGCAGGATTGGCAGCAGGAGCAGCAGCAGCGAGGAGGAGGAGGAGAAGGAGCAGCAGCGGCACGAGCAACAGAAGGAGAAGCAGGAACAGCAGCAGGAGCAGCAGAAGCAGCAGAAGGGAGAGGAGGAGGAGGAGGAGGAGGAGGAGGAGGAGGAGGAGGAGGACGACGACGACGACGAAAAGGGGGGAGGAGAGGAGGAGGAGGAGGAGGAGGAGGAGGAGGAGGAGGAGGAGGAGGAGGGGCAGGGGGAGGAAGAGGAGGAGGAGGAGGAGGAGGGACCCCTGAGGAGGGAGGCCGAGGAAGAGGAGGGAGGAGGACAGAGGAAGAGGGAAGGAGGACGAGGAGAACAAAGAAGAAGGATAAAGAGGACAGAGGAGGAGGAGGACGACGACGACGAAGACAGAGGAGAAGGGAAGGAGGACGAGGACGGCAGAGGAGGAAAAAGGAGGACGGGGAGGACAGAGAAGGAGGACGACGGAGGACGGAAGATCTGTTTTGGATTGGCTCCTGGCTGAAACATACGGTTTGTCGAGACTAAGCGGCGTTGCAGCTAGCAAAACATTAGTCCGACTAAAAATTACTGCACGGGCACCAAGTATACAAGTACAGTACAATACGATGGGACTCCCGCGACAGAGCGGACGGAACGCGTCGAACCGAAGCATGGGATCCAGACCCGCCCAAAACCTCATCATCACTCACCCCCCACCCGTCATTCATGGCAGCTGGACGGCAGAGCTAAGGTGGCGACGGTGGCACGCTGTACCCGTCCAGGGCGCTCGGGAGGAGGGGCGAAGGGAGGGAGGGGTCATGCTGAGAATAGACGAAGGGGAGAGAAAAAGGCTGGGACGCAACCGAAAAACCTCCTGTTCGTGACCCTGCGACGGGGCAGACGGCACGTCGGCACGGGTGGCAAGGCCCGCCTAGGGAAGGATCGCAATCACCTTTTCACCCAACGGTCCTGGACCATCCCCGCCCCATATCCAGCACCAGACCTTGGCCGTCATCGGCCCGAATCGCACGAGGAGCGACCGCCACGGCACGGCCGGACACCGGACGCTCGGGAGGAGGGAGCGAGGGAGAGAGGGAGGACATGATGAAGACGAGGAGAGGGAAGGCAGGGACGCAGACCTGGGCCCTACTCCCTCTTCGCTCGCGCTCGCCGGCCCTCACCGAATCGAGCAGTGCTCGCGAGAGCGCACGGGCCGCGCAGAGAAACGCCTCCATCCCGAACCCCCCTCCGAACCTCCCTCCCATCTTCGCACCCGCGCAGCACACATAGACATACACAGCAGCACGACTATCTACACGCAATCGTCGGAGGCTGTGCCGAGCATACAACAGGGGGCACCGGAGGAGCCTCTAGGGTCCAAAGCGGCCCGCCGCCCTACGGCCTCATCCACTAGGCGCCGCAGCTCGCACGCCCGGAGCCGGTAGTCCTGCACCAGCGGGGAGTGTGGGGTTGCATTTACCCTCCAGTACAGCACGGTCTCAATCCTGGACAGACGCTGCGTAAGGAGGCGGACCGCTCCTTCCGCCGCCTGGATGTCCGTGGCAGGACTCACGATCTGCACCCTCTGCATCGCCGACGGCCGAGGCAGACCAGCCGTAGGCGGAGCAGCCTCAGGAGGAACAGCTGAGTCATCAGCGGCTTCTGGCCGGTCCTTTGCGGTGTCTGCAGCATCGCCAGGGAACCCGACATCGCCCTCGGCATGCGCCCCAGCCGGAGCACGATCCAGAGCTCCAGCGAGGCAGCGAGCACGATCCGGAACACAGCAGCGGGGCGTAGCGCTTGATCCTGAGCATGATCATCACCAGGAGCACCATCGGGAACCCGCGCGCCTAACGACCGCGGATGCGCAAACTCTGCGGAGTCGACCGTGCTGTCAGAATCGCGATGAGACTCGTCCACGGAGTCATCAGCAAATTCAGGCTGGTCCTCGGCGGCATCTGCAGCATCGTCGGGGAGCCCGTCATCTCCTGCGGCATGAGCGCCCTCCGGAGCGAGATCCAGAGCTCCAACGAGTCGGCGCGCACGATCCAGGATACCTTTCAGAAGACCATCCGGAGCAGGGCGCAGGAGCGCGATCCGGAACTGCAGCAGGAACACACGAGGCCTGAGCAGCACCAGGAGGTTGAGACGATCCCGACGGCAGCTCCAGCCACCACATCGGCGCGGCGGCGGCGGCTGGGGGCGGCAGCGCGGCGGGCATCCTGCACCACGCAGCCGGCACCGAGCCCACGAAGCACTCGCCGTACACATGGGCGTGGCCGGCGGCGGCGGCGCGCTCCAGCACCGGCTCGGGCTCGGCCGCCCGACGATCATCATGAGCATCATGTCTATGGCCTCGGCCGCCAGCTGCGGGAATATCCTGGGCGTCAGGCCAGGCGCCGCTAGGTGGGGCAGGTCGAGCTGGCAGACGATGCGCAGCAGCAGCAGCAAGCGCGACCACGTCGCCCATGCGAGGACGGCGGCCGACTCGGGCCGCATAGCCGAGCCTGCGCACGGGGGCACGAAGGTCCGGCCTCGGCGGGCAGCCATCGCGGCGCCGGCCCGAAGCATCTCGTGGCATGCGGTCTTCCCAGAACAGTGGACGGTCCAGGGCGACGCGCATGGGCTCTGACCCCCCAGTCGGAAATGTCTCCACCGGGGCTGGAGCCTGGAGGACGAAGGAGGGAGGGAGGGAGGACGAGGGATGAGGAGGGAGGAGGGAGGAGGAGGGACGAGCGAGGACGGAGGGAGAAAGATCAGCCTGTCAGTGCAGAGTTTCATCGCGGAACCTGTGGAGTGAGCCATCGCCTGCTTGGCAAAAGCACATGCTCGTCTTGGACCGCGTGTGGGTTTGAAATGGTCAGCACAGCTTGGCGAGGAGGGGCGGCGGCGGCGGCCTGGAGCGCCACCATCGGCTGGCCGAGCTGGTGCGGCGAGGCCGCTCTCACGCCGGCTGGCGGGAGGGCGCCCCATGGCTGACCCTCGGGGTTCGCCGAGCGGGGGGCTGCCGCACGCTTCTCGGCCCTGGCCCTTCCAGCCCCAGGTGGGTGTTCTAGGCACCATTCCTTCTCTCTTTTCGTCTCTCGTTCACCCTCTCTTCCTCTGTCCTTCTCTCCCTCTCTCTTTTTCTCGCTCTGTCGCTCTCTCGCTTTCTCTGGGTCTCTCTTTCTCTTTTTTTCTCTCTCTCTCTCTCTCTCTCTCTCTCTCTCCCTCTCTTGATAGGTTTCGTTATCTCTCCCTTGTTATCTGTCTCTCTCGTTATTCCTCTCTCTCTCTCTTTCTCCTGACTTGATAGCTACCTCTCTCTCTGTCGCTCTGTCTCTTTCTCTCTCGCTCTCTCTGTCTCTCTGTCTCTTTCTCTCGCTGTCTCTCGCTCGCTCTGTCTCTCTCTCTCTCTCTCTCCCTTCCTCTATCTCTCTTTCTCTCTTTTCTCTTGTTTCTCTCCCTCTCTCTCCCTCTCTTTCTCTGTACAGTTCTTTTATACGTAGCACCCCGCAATTGCGGATAAGAGTGAGGGGGCGGGCGCGGGCGACGCGGGCGTCGTCGAGCCGGCGGACCTCGTGGCCCCCACCTTCCTTGTCGATGGCGCTCTCCTCCACCTCCTCCTCCTCCTCCCTCCTCCTCTCCTCCTCCTTCCTCCTCCTCCTCCTCTTCCTCGTCCTCATCGTCATCGTCATCCTCCTCCTCCACCTCGTCCTCCTCCTCCTCCCTCCTCTTCTTCCTCGTCCTCCCTCTCCCCCCCTCGTCCTTTCATCATCGTCCTCCCATTGTCGTCCTCCCCCTCATCGGCCTCCATCATCGTCCTCCCATTGTCGTCCATCATCATCATCCTCCCCCTCCTCCCCCTCCTCGTCCTCCTCCTCCTCCTCCCCCTCCTCCCCCTCCTCGTCCTCCTGCTCCTCCTCCTTTTCTTTCTCCACATTCTCCTTACATCCTCTCTTCTTCCGCGTCCTCCTCGTCCCCTGTTTACTCCTCCTGCCTCCCCCTCCTTTCCCAAGATAACTGCAACGCAATCCTTTTTCCACTTTATGCTCCCCGACTTCTCTGATCAAGGCAACTCGCCAGGGCAAAGTTGCTGGACGGGCTGGTGTGGATGCGCGGGGCTTGAAGAGGTCCTTGCGGGCTCAGACGGCATGCAAAAATCTGCCGCCGCGCTTGTGCAGCATTGGTTTGTTCAGTGAACGTGGTTTGGGTCGCGGGTGGGTCGCGGGCTCTCCACCTCCACCTGGAAGGAATGCAAAAGCAGCCGGACCGCAGGCGCCAAAATAAATGGTTTGTACACTGAACGTGGTTTGGGTCGCGGGTGGGGCGCGGGTTCTCCACCGGGAACGAATGCAAAAGATGCCCGCCGCGGGCGCCGAAAAATGTGGTTTGTACCCTGAACGTGGTCGCGGGTGGGCAACGGGCTCTCCACCTGAAACGAATGCAAAAGATGCCCGCCGCAGGCGCCGAAAAATGTGATTTGTACCCTGAACGCGGTTTGGTCGCGAATTGGTCACGGGGTGGGTCGCGGGCTCTCCACCTGGAAGGAATGCAAAAAAAGCCCGCCGCAGGCGCCGAAAATTGTGGTTCGTACCTTGAACGTGGTGGGTCGAAGGTGGGTCGCGGGTGGGTCGCGGGGTGGGTCGCGGGTGGGTCGCGGGTGGGTCGCGGGTGGGTCGCGGGTGGGTCGCGGGTGGGTCGCGGGGTGGGCCGCGCGGGGTGGGTCGCGGGTCGCGGGTGGGTCGCGGGGTGGGTCGCGGGGTGGGTCGCGGGGTGGGTCGCGGGGTGGGTCGCGGGTGGGTCGCGGGTGGGTTCGCGGGTGGGTCGCGCGGGTGCGGGTCGACGATACACAACAACAACAACAACAACAACAACAACAACAACAAACAACAACAACAACAACAACAACAAAAACAACTACAACGAGAATCCGCACCGCGGAATTCCACTTCAGCCACGCACCCAGGGACAGTGAATGACCGTTCGGCCCCCTCACTCTGATATGCACACACATCCGCTGGCCCACTACGGGGCCATCGGGTTTCGCGGATTTGGTTTGCTGCTCCCTGCTCCAGTTCCAGTTTCCAGTCTCCGATGTTACAATTCTGTGTGCTGCTGGGGCGCCGAAAAGAGCCCTGGTTACTTTCACCTGGGGGGGTCTCAAAATTTCTGATTGGGTTTTGGGGCACGTAAAAGTACTTGAGATTCGTGCCCCCGAAACCACGATCGCGTACAAATTACAATACATTCGCACCCCCAAGGCTAGAATCCGCTGCACATTACAATGCTCGCGACCTTGAAACTATAAACTCTTGCAAGGTACGCTGTGTTCGCACTCCCGGGACCATAAGTCCTGGTAAGTTGCGCAGTATTCGCGCCTCCGAAGCAGTAGTCTCTCGTCAATTACGCAATGCGCACCTGGATATCTCAAGTGGCCCCGTTCGGGGTTCCGACGCTGCTCCACGACGGCGCTAAGCCTTGCAGCATAGCTCGTGCAAACCCAACTTCTCCGAGAGAGGGGACCGGCGACAGGGGACGAATCCCTAACGGATACACACACATATACACATGTATATGTGTTTACAAATATACATATACACAAATATATGTGTGATACCCCCACATGGTCATACATCTGGTTCTTCCGTACATCCCATCGAGGACCCAGAGCAAACGAGGAGGAAGAGCGAAGAGGAGGAGGAGAAGAAAGAGGATGATGGAGGACAAGGATGGCGAGGAGGAGAAGGAGGCAGGAAGGCGGACGAGAAGGAGGAGGAGGAGAAGGAGGAGGAGGGGAGGAGGCCGATATGGGAGTGAGTCTAAGGGGGAGAAAGAGAAGAAGGGGGAGTAGGAGAAGGGAGAGGGGGTGACGACGAGTGGGGAGGAGGAAAAAAAACACCATGAATGGAAAACATGAATTAGGAGGCGGATGCAGGATAAGGGGAGATGAGGAAGAGATCGGATCAGGAGGAACATGAGGAGGGGGAGGGGGAGGAACAAGGAGTGGTAACGAAGAGAAGTGATGATGCTGGTGCTGCTGCGGATGATGATGGTGATGATGATGATGACGACGACGAGTATGATCATGCTGATGGAGCGGGAGAGGATGAGGACAAGAAGGGTGACGGTGAGGAGGTGAAGGGGGAATCTGGATGGAAATAAGAAATATGATGAGGACGTGTCAGGAGGACGAGGGGGAGGAGGAGGGGGAGAAGGAGGAGGAGGAGGGGGAGGAGGAGGAGGAGGAGGAGGAGGGAGGAGAGGAGGAGGAGGAGGAGGAGAGATCGACACTGAAACTGGAGGAAGGATGGCAAACACGAATCGAGACCATGAGCGATGATGAGGAGGAAGGGGAGGGATGAGGAGGGAGAGGAGGACAGTGAACATGACGAGGAGAAGATATAAGGCAAGGGAGGAGGAGGAGGCTGACGATGCGGGCAACGGCATCGAGCACAAGTGAAAGGAAGGGCGAATCTAGGTATAACTTAGAGGTTAACATTGTCTCCCCTGGAGCTCACACCCTCGACCCCTGGACGTGCCTGAATCGACGCCTACACGTGGACGGAGGAGGAGAAGAAGGGGAGCGAGGAGTGGTGACATCTTCGGACCCTCTGGTGGGTTCTCGGGGCCCTGGTGGCTTTTTGGGCCCTCCAGAGGTTCTGAGCTTAAACACCGCTGTTTGCCCGAAGCACAGGTCGCATGCGATTGCGACTCCGTGTCCATGCTTTTTCTTCCATCGCACGTCTCGGAATCCTCTTCATCCTCGTTCCTCCCTCGTCCTCCACGTCCTCGCCCTAGCCCTCCTCCGCCCCATCCTCCTCGCCCTCGTCGTCGTCCCCGTTCCCGCCTCCTCCTCCTCCCCCTCCCCCTCCCCCTCCTCCTCCTCCTCCTCCTCCTCCTCCTCCTCCTCCTTCTCCTCCTCTATGTCTTCTTCGTAATACTAGTGTTCGTCTTAGTGGTATTGTTATGAGCTTTCTTACTATAATCCGACGATCTGGCGTGTGAGTTTCTGAGAGCGTGGGCTCGAGCTCGCTAACACTTCGCTCTGCAAGGGGGGGGGACGCAAACGACAAAAGAAATGACACGCAAGGCCTCCCCAATGCCGGGGCCGCCCCTCCCTGCACCCCTGCCCAGCGCCCCCCTTCCCTCTCCTCTCCGGCCGCCCCCCCCTCTCTTCCTGCACCCCCCCCTTCCCCTGCAATCTCCTCTCCGCCCCCCCCCCCTCTTCCTGCACCCCCCCCCCGCCTCTGCACCTTCTCTTTCCCCCAGCTCCCCCCCCCCTGCACTGCGCCCTGGGGGCCAGGACTGGACAGGAGAGAGGGGGGGGGGAGGGGAGGGGAGGAGAGAGGGGGGGGGGACAGGAGAGAGGGGGGGGGGACAGGAGAGAGGGGGGGGGGGGGGGGGGGGGACAGGGAAGGAGGGAGGGGGGAGGGGGGGGGAAGGAGAGAGACGGGGGGGAGGGGACAGGAGAAAGGTGGGTGACAATAGAGAGAGGAGGGGGGTTTGGGGGGGCCGGGATCATCACCATCTCCATCACCATCACCATCACCATCGTCACATCATCATCATCATCATCATCATCATCATCATCATCATCATCATCATCATCATCATCATCATAATCATCATCATCATCATCATCAGCAGCAGCAGCAGCATCATCATCATCATCATCATCATCATCATCATCATCAGCATCGTCATCATCATCACACATCATCATCATCATCATCAGCAGCATCATCACCATCATCATCATCATCATCATCATCATCATCATCATCATCATAATCATCATCATCATCATCATCATCATCATCATCATCATCCGGAGCATCGGCGGCACAGACCGGAGGCCACTACAATTAGATGTACGAGCACTGTTCGCAATAGCATTCTTAGTATGATACGGATTAGCCTTAGTCTTCTTGCCAGTATCATTAATAGTACCAGCACGTAAAAGTTGCATAGCTACTAGTATCCGTATTATTCGTATTGA